ATTGTTATAGTATATAAGAAGGATCATCTACCTGGTCAGTAGAGATACTTCAGTTTACTTGACGCCTGTCAGTTTGATAATAAAACATACCTTTATCAAGTTGACTCTATTGTTTTTTTATTCTTTTTTTTTCGTGAGTTCTAGTCTATAAAGCCTCAAATTCCACAATGGGTTTGGTTTTGTTTGGTTGAAGATATTGGTAGCGGATATCTTCTGGAAGGGCAGTTCTGCAGCCTATGCAGCTTCTAATCTAAATAAAAGGCGTATTATTTTTGTTAAAGCTGATTCATGCAAAATTTGATGCGTAATGTTCTTTTCTTTCTTTTATTATAATGTTTCTTTTCAGCATACGGTATATATTTTTTTTTTTACGTTGTGTGGTTGTGCCTATCGCTAAAGCTCAGCAAGATTTAGCGCATTCTGTCCATAGAAATAAAGCTTTAGTAGCCCAGAGCAACCTTTAACTGTAGATTTCAAGCCGTACGTTGAAGAGAAACGCGATTTTAAAATTTCAAAATGTTGTTATTAGTATGTAGTCTTGTTTTAAATGGTAAAATCAACAACCAAGGGATGTTGGCTCAATTGGTAGAGCGTCAGATTCCAAATCTGAAGGTCAAGAGTTCGATTCTCTTACGTCTCATTTTTGCCAATCCTATGAAATCTGGTGTCTGTAGTCTAGGATGGTTTTTCTTTTAAGAAATTATCAATTTTCTGGTGTCAGGCATGCATCTTTAGTCTGGCAAGTTTACATTGCTTCTCTTTATTTCATCACCTTCTTTGCATTAACAGCCATTGCAGTGCGTCATATATCTATTTTCATCAGCGCCCTAAACCTTTTTTTTTTATCATTCGCTTCATTACCCTTCAGGTGGGATGTTTAACTTGCGCTAGGATCAGAAGCAGAAAAGACTGACTTATTGCTACTTCATCATGAACAGCACTTGGATCTTGTACAAGCATGAGCTACTGATGTAGCAGAATGAGCTTGAAAACGATAAAATTGTTAGTCATCATCATCTTGTCTTGGTTACCATGTCAAAGAATTGGAATCCGTATAGAAACATACGTAGTACTCCCAAATGCTACTTTTGTTTAACATGTTCAGTTTGTACATAATTCACAGTTTGCCACATTCAGATATGAAAGGCTAATCATTAGCATTCTGTGCTACAAAACTGTAATTCAATTGCTCAAGAGAATGGAATCAGTTTAAATTGATGTATCGAGTCAATTTTAAAATTCTGCCTGGTAACAAAAGGGCCTCGGTAGCATAACGGTAACCAATGCAATCAAGGGGTTCGCCTGGCCTCCTATTTTTATTCAATCCTATGTACTTGATTCAGGAATTTGTACAATTTTACTTAATCACCAATGACCATTATGCTTCTTGGAATCAACTGCCAACAGAAGGCTAAAATTTCAAACCGGAGTTTTACACAGTGTCAATCAAAGCCAAACTTGGCAAGGTGCCATGGGGTTATATCTGCCACAAAGCGTCTTGAGGTTTACATACAAGCGAGCAAAACTATACTGGAGACAACAATCGTGGCCATAACTTAAAAAACTACTGTCGGGTTTTGGTAGGTGATGAATACATCCTATTGCTCTATGCTGGGATAGCTTTATTTTCCACTGCTATCGAGTGCGGTGGTCTACACGGAGCCACACCCCTTTCAGAAGACAATAGAAGAGAACTGACCATTCTGTCAACAAATGAAAGCTCGCGCATTGCATATATAGAAACGGCACGGATTAGAAAGGATATACCGGATTATGCTTTCAAAACAAAATTCCTTATTTCGCTCCGTAGGCTGAAGCTCATGACTCAAAAATCCATAGTTAAGGATAATGCACCCAACTTCTTGATCCCTGTGCTTATACAGCACCTTTTTCTTTCATCTCAGAAAAATGCCCAACGCTACTCACAAACTCAAAAAGCAGCTGATTGCTGCTACTGACAACCAATATACTTGGCGATCTAGAGCAAAATTACCTCAACATTTGCAAACACTATCAATCATTCAGCTTTGCCAATCGAAATTGTCAGCCTAATACAGCGTCTCCAGAAAAGAAATTTACATATTTTGTCCAATGGCAAATACGCTATCCACATAGTGTACTGCGTATCATGGCGAATGGCGATGGGAAATCATTCTTTCTATAACTTGGCTCAGAGACTGATGATCAGCTTACTCAATGGGAGATATCTTCAATTCCTTGACAAGCCCCTCTTAAGAGGCAGCATTAATAAGATCTTCAAAAATAGTGCACAATCATTCAGTATTCTCAAGGAGTCGACTTGTACAGTTAACTTATCTGTGTTTTGTGATTACTCTAGCACCAGACTGCCTACGCATCAAGCAAAACATCGTTATAGTACCGAGGAAAACAATTGGAGCGCATATACAAGTCTGGCCAAGTCTCCCTGGGATGATTTACATATTTGTCAGTGGAGATAGCTAGATTTCTCTGGTTCAGCTATCACCGAAACCTTGGCTAATTTCCCTCAAAGCCCTTATAATGGGGTAGCGTTCTTGCTGCGTAGCTGTCTTATTGCTTTACCAACGTACCAAATCTTAACAAAAGGCCTCAAGTTATTCAACATTGAGCATATTGAGTCAATAAACTGATACTAGAGATCACTACCCAATATCATAATGTCTTTAAACTTATATTCGGACTGCAAGCACCAGCACTACTCTCCAGTGTCGCTAAACTTCTACGCATCGTCGGAACTGCCATACTAGTTTCTTCGTCAGATCATAACATAATAAATTTATTGCCCCTAAACACTTTCGCAACCTCAAAATGGAAAGGCATTGAGCTTACAAGTATTTCGATGGATTGTCGTTGTTGAAACAATACTTCAAAAGGAAATAGAACGACTAGCGATTGTTGTATCTAATTCGCCATTTAGTTTCCATTAGCTTCAAAAGCATCCATTGTTGCCTTTGATTAGATGAGTTTGCCAGCTGGCCCGTCCCACTGTTGCATACAAGCATGCATCTTAGGCTATACTCACTTTCTCCTCAAGCCACCTTTTACAGTGTAGCAGCATAGATGATGTTTATCGTATCACATCACATCCATGTTTACAAGTCCAGTCAATTGTGTGTGCACAGGTGCCTCAGGAACTACAATACATTCAATCTCCCCAATGTCAAGATATCGAGATACACCTACACTACATGAAACATATCGACTTAGGTGGCCTCTCAACAAGCTATACCAACAATCCATAAGGCCCCAGTGGCCTGCTATTTATATACCATCTCAACGTAGTAGCCATTGACCAGGGATCTACCATATTTAAGCAAGCTAGATGCCCTGTAATAAAGAGGCTTTTTGCTTTCGTTTTAGATACAGTTGACAACTGATTATTATCATCGACTTATTATTACGAATTCATCACCCACTACCAAAATTAATTTCAACTCAGACTCTTTGTCTATTCCAGATTGGCCATATTTTGAAGATTTTCGACTCAATTGGACTACTTTTCCATATTCGACTATATAAATTGTGATGATATTTCTCTGCTTCCTAATACATTCTTAGAGTACTTTTCAAGGCGCTTTCAATGGTACCAAGTAAGATATATGTTTATAGTAAACTTATTGAGCAATTTATGGAAATATGAAATGACGTTTCAGGCCAAAAAGTCGAAATTTTACATATCAAGGTCCTACAAAACTAACTTTGGCGGTTGCATTGGATCGAGAAGATCATTTTGATTTAATACATGCCATAGTAAAAGTCTTCATTTTTGGTGTCAAACATGCAATCGTTTGATTTTTGATGAAAACCATGAGGTACTCCTCATGGTTTGAAGTTGATTTTCGACGATCCCAAAAAAGTTGAGCAAACGTGTCAGGAAATTAGCGCTGAATGAGAGCGACTGTTTGGTGCTATTCTGGCAGTTCAAAACGGCTTCTAACGCAAGAAAACATAGCTCAAATGCACTCAGATTTTGCTGCATCAGGGACACTCTTAACTAGAAAGGGGCAATCCCGTATGCTGCTTGTCCGCATGTGAAATATCTACGTGTATATGGATGTGCAACATCACATAAGAACCGGATCCACAGATAGTATGGAGTTCTCATGTGCAAGAGGAGGGTTAAAATGAAAGCAGAGAGCCATCCAAAGCGTAGACACACTCGAATATTTTAACAAAGAAGACTTTGCTATCAAGAAGAATGCGATCGTTGGCACTATTGGATAGACTTGAAGAGGGCACATCAAGCATAATGTTATTTCTGGCTTGTAGTTGCATTCATTTCTAGATCGCTGCCACATATCCTTCTGATATTTACGAAGCTAATAATGTTAAGGTTACAGATAAAAATAGCTTCATCTGCGCCTAACGATATCAGTAAGCCTGATGGCTTGATATAGTTTGAGTAATCCCATCCAAACCGTATACATTGCAGCTCGCAGATCAAATGGCATGGTTTGCTAGCAAAACATGGACGTCTCATACACTTGCACAACTGTTGTCGACCAGATCCAGAGACTCGCTATACAAGACTCATCCATACAGCTACATAAACCAACTGATGCGACTCTTGCGTGCCCCCACCAATCCCACCTCAAATACCATATGTTGATTGACTCGTTACGAAGGATCATTCGCTCCAATATCAAATGTCAATCTACTCGTTGCGAAGAAATAATCGCTCTATCACAGAATGCCTTGTTTCCATATAATCCTTCACTGTGGTTTAGGTTGCAACAAAATGAAGAGAATATCTCCACTGGAGAAGCGCTCTCAGCATCTCAAAACACTGAAATCCATCAAATTACCTTTACTACACGTGATGTCTGACGTAGCAATCATCAAGTAACCGCGTTGGTTCCAATCCAGTGTGTTGCGGGGGGGATGGCTGTTATTTTTTATTTTACAAGAGGGTGGGGGCCTCGAAAACTAGAAAATCTAAATTCATCAACCTCCCTTCTCCTTGTTTTTTTTTTTTACATACAACAATAAAGAAATAGAAAATGGCTTCTCCCATCCGTGCTGCTGCTATTAACTGGTCCAAGTTGAGCGTCAGTCTTCCTCAAGAAACTGTCGCCTCTCTTCAAGCTTTCCGTAAGCGTAACGACGAAGTTAAGCGTGTCCTTGCCGAACTCAAGGAACAAACCACCTCTGTTGATTTTGCTCACTACCGCAAGGTCTTGAAGAACCAAGATGTTGTTCAACAAGCCGAGAAGGCCGTTAGCGGTTTCAAGCCCGTTGCTTACAACTTGGATGCTCAGTTGAATGCCATCAACCAATTCGAAGCCAAGGCTGTGAGTATTTCACATGAACAAAATGTTGGCATGGACATGATTATTGAGCTGCATGTGCAATAGGTTTCCAAGGCTCAAAAGACCGTTCAACAAATCGAACACGAACTCAAGGATCTTCATGCCACCCTCAGCAACATTGAAGGTTCTCGTCCTATCGAACAACTCACCGTACGTATCAACAATCATGGAATGTGTGGGAGATAGGGGATTGATATTAATGCTGTTGTGTACATTTAGGTTGACGATATTGTTGTTGCCAAGCCCGAAATCACCAAGAACATTGAAGAGAGCCTCCAAAAGGGTCAATTCTCTGTTCCCGGTTACAAGGAGAAGTTTGGAGATATCTCTTACTTTTAATTGTAGTGATTTTTTACACTTTTTATTACCTCTGCTTGCCACCAAAAACTTGACGATTAAACTGAAAAATATATATATTACACAGAGACAAAATACATGCCATAATGACATTTGTTTATCAAGTTTGAATTAAATCAAGAGAAATGGGGTCTGTTTTACTGTTAAGAGTGTGTGGATATCAATTAGAGTGTATGGAAAGTGGCTTGATTGAGTTTTGAAACGACATTTGGCGCTTAAAATAAATGTATTTGCGGGAAAGCCTAAAAGAAAAAAAAAAAAAATTGATTGAAACATTTTCCCTTTTTTTTTCTCTCTCTCTCTCTCTCTTTTATTACACTTTATTTAGTTTCTAATGATAAATCATACATTTGCGTCCTCCGTTGCAGGATATTTGTCAATTGTATGCTGGCTTATTGTATTTACACCGTAAGTTTCCTTTTGGTTTTTGTAGTATAATCATCATGCTAAGTGCCAATCAGACAATTGTGGGAAAACTATCGACGCAAAAGTGGAGATGGCCTTTCCATGACATTTCTAGTGGTCTGGCTAGCTGGCGATGTGTTTAATCTGCTCGGTGTCATTATGCAGGATTTGCTTGTAACCATGGTAAGGATTGAAAAATTTGCTTGCTGTCAGGAAGGCTTATTTTGTACTAGTTTGTTCTTGCTTTATACTACACAGTAGCTGACATGGGATTGATTTGGCAAGTCATTTACTATCGACAACAAAGCAAGCGAGTGTATCAGCATCAAGAGGAGGACATTCCAGCGCTGATAGATGAATCAAGCTCCTTACTGAACACAGCGACAACTTCATACACCAACAACACCGTCATCTCTTCATCAAACTCTTCTTTTATTACCATCACTGATACCAAAAAGAAACAAACTAGTGGCACTAAATTGTTCAATTTAATTTCAGCAATATCGATTGTTTTAGTAACAGTAGTATCTTGTTACACATATTACAATGCTCATTGGAAACATCAGCATGGTGGCGATGATGATGGTCAGAGCGACCGTTTGGAGTTTCTTCCTCAGCTGATGGGTTGGTCAAGTGCATTGTTATACGTTGGAAGCCGCATACCTCAGATATTGAAAAACTGGAGAAACAAGAGCACAGAAGGTTTGAGTTTTGGAATGTTTACTTGTGCTGTCATGGGAAACGTTTTCTTTACCATGGTAAATATAGCCAACATTTCAGACGAGTTTTACATGCGAGTTTAATTGAAACAAATAGTCCATTTTTCTGAAATCAACAAACATCAACTACATTTTAATGAACCTTTCTTGGATTGTTGGTTCATGCGGAACATTGATTTTCGACTTTATTGTAAGTATTTAAGGTTTAGCAGACATTTCGATGGAATCCAATTAACAGCCCTGGCAGATTTTCATTCAGTTCTTTGTCTATAGCAAAGAGAAAAAGAACACCTTGATTGGAAAACCGACTGTCTAGACAAGATTTTATGTGTAAAGCTTGTGAATACCCTTATTTCTTTTTTGATAATGATTAGACAAGGTTGTGTATTATTATGATAAATTTTTTATATAATTTTTTTTTATGATATTTGTCGATTGATGGAGTGTTGTGTATGTAAAATGGGTGTAAGAAAAAAAAAAGAGTATACAAACAGAGCGAGGGAGAGAGAAAGATTACAGAGGAACAGACACTTGGGATGCATCGAGACCTAAAGCATGCAAAAACAAGTTGACATTGGAAATACGATGGCTGGCTTGATCAAGAGGAAGTCTATTTCTCTTTGCGAGTACAATATTGTCCATGACACGGTCCCTAATAGAATACAATTAAGTGAGTATATACAATAATGTGATGAAGCATTTCGAGACAAAAAAAAAAAAAAAAAAAAAAAAAAAAAAAGTACCTGACTTCAGTGACCAAAATGTGTTGTTGATCCATGGATGCGCCTACAGCCATAGCAGCCAAAAACTGCCATACGTACATGTCATCCACGGCAAGTGATAATTGCATCATGGGTGTATTGGGGTTGTGAGGGACCAAATAGTACAAAGATGGGAATATAGTGAGGTAACGACCCTTGAGTGTATTAAAGAGGTTACCATAGAGTTCTTGCCAGCGATTCATTTCTTCAGGAGTAGGAGGAGCTAATCCTTGTAAGGATCCACCACCTTGCTTCAAGATTTCTGCACGAGACAAGAGCATGGTCAAGAAAGCTAATCCAGGCTTTGTTTGAGCAACGGCCAAAATGTCATTCTTGTCCAACAACAAGTGAAGTAAGCCATCAACAATGCGCAAAGGTGCCTCAGCAATAAAGGCCAAAAGAGGAGGCGCAGTCGCGTTCATAAAGAGCTCCACATCTTCAAAATTGACAAATTGCTGTTTCTTGGCTTCATCCACATTCGCAACAGCTGTACCAGGATAGATGACATGGCGACATACTTGAAGACGAGAGAAGTTACCAATAAAGACGGTCAACAAGGTCAGGTTTTGATCATGGTTCAATTGACGTACGATGCGAGGTATAAGCTTCTTGCCCTTGGCAATAGAGAGCAGAGACACCAAGAAGGGTGTTTCAGAAGTCTCTGTGAGACGCAACGTCTTCCAAAGCTTCTCTACCTTGGCTGCATACTTTTCATTGAAAGCTTCAATACGATCCTTCTCATCCTGTTCATCTTCATGACGAGCTTGAGGTGGCCCTTGACGACGCATTTGCTCCAATTCCAAAACAATTGTGTACATGTCTTCTGTGATCTTGAGCACATGACGCTTGTCGACGGCAGCAGATGGTTTGACAGAGACAGGCTTGCTAGCAGTTTCAGGAGATCCAGCAGTAGCAGTTGAAGAAGTAGCAGCAGCAGCAGTGGATTCCGAATTGTTGCTGCTAGGCACTTGCAAAACTTGACGAGGATTGCGAACAGTCAAAGAAGTAATCTTACCCAATGCACCTTCCAACGAAACTTGGGTCTGCTTGGGACGACGCTTGGCATCATTGACGATACGTTGCAATTGCTGGTGCATACGCTGCATGGTATTCTCTTCACGACGACGACCACTGCGGCCACTTTCAGTAGTGTTGTTGGCAGCATTTTGAGGGAGAGATGACTGCAAAGGCAGACCAGCACGTTGACGGAGAGACGAGTAGACTTGATAGTAGAAATCATCCGCATAAGGATCTCCAGAGGCCAATTGAGACAGTTGAATACGATTAACATACATCTTGTCTTGATCAGTCATAAGACCATCGTATTGAGACTAGTACGGTACACTTGGATTAGCTGTACGAATACACACACTGACACCCTATTTTTCACTCACCTTGCGATGATGCTCTCTACGCTTCATTTCTCGGGCCATGGACAATTGCTGCTCCTTCAATTCTTGTTGTTGTTTCAATGCCAAGATTTGCATAGGGTCAGATGGAGCAAATCCAAAGGGAGGAATACCGTGCTCTCCTTGAGGTTGTCCCTGAGGTTGCACCTGATGTTGTTGCTGTTGCTGGTGCTGATGCTGTTGTTGTTGCAAAGTAGCTTCCAGTTCTGCCAAATTCAGTCCCTTTCCATTGTTCATGGGAGATTCGTTGCGGTAGCGATTAGCAGCTTGTTGACGCATATCAGCCTCAATGTCTTCCAAAGTAACAGGGCGACGTTGCTGTTGTTGCTGCTGATGATGATGAAGCTGTTGTTGCCGGAATCCAGCCGAGGTCGTGGGAGACATGCCACCAACAAATTGAGGCTGCTGCTGCTGCTGTTGAGGACGTCTGCTAGCGTTGGCAAAAGGAGACAAGCCATTTTGACTACCTGTCAAGGATGAAAAACCCGCATTGTCGGCTAAAATGCATGTTAGTGTTCGCACTGTCCATCTCCTCATTGAAATTCTGATAAATTACATACCTGGAGATAGGCCGCTGCTAAAGTTGCCCCAAATGCTCTTTGAGGGAGCCATAGGTGAAGCCTATATTTCCATAACCATGTCAGAAACTGACACTCCATGTCCTCTCACATCTCCAATGCTTTACCTCCCCAAAATTTCTGCCAATACCAGAAGATGAAACAGGTTGACGACTTGGGGTAGCAGCCCAAGGGTTACGGAATCCACCTTGATTAGCTATATGTTTGCTTTAGGTTAGTCCTGTGTAAAACACCCGTATTGCTTCATTTCTACCTTGTTGATCCTCGTAAGCCTTACGCTTAGCATAGAAAGCTTCCTCCTCTGAAATACCATTGGAAAAACGCTGTGTGTTTCCAGAGAAATCGAAATCCTTGCCTATGAGGTATAAACCGCGTATTTAGACAAACCACTATAAAATACTCCTATACTCACTTACCAACAGGAGCATCTCCAAAAGTCAAATCATTCACATCGTCGCCTTCTTCGATAAGCTGATCACCCAAACCATCCTCCTCTTCGTCTTGAAAGTCGTCATGTTCATTTACACCGAGTTCTTGACGCAAAGTTGCGAAATCGTACACGTCAGCATCGATGTGATCATAGTTTTGGCTCTGATCGTTTCTGTTGTTGCTATTCTTGCCTTGTTTCTTTAGAGCAAGGAATTCGTCCTCACTCAAAGGCGGTAAATTGGTATTAAAACTATGTTACAATGGTTAGTGTGCTAATTCCAATGTTTATCCATGTCGTTTTTTTTTTTTTTTTTTTTTTTTTTTTTACCCAAAAAATGAATCGCCCATGGAATGCTTGTTTAGTTTCTCACTATATTAGCTTTTCTTTCTTTGGAAAGATGGTTCAAAGAGAGAGAGGGATAAAGATATTCTTCTATCGAGATATAGGTTGAGTATATACGAGTAAAAGAATGAAAGAGTGAAAAGAGAGAGAGGAAAAAAAAAATATTTTTTATGGGTAGTGTGTGTGTGCACTGTTCTCCCCCCATCTCCTCTCTGTTTGTGATTCTCCATCAGAAGAGAACCAAGCCGGACGCGAAAGGATTGTGTTTGAAATTGGTTGATTCACAGGCGCTATGAAATACTGAGATGTGATGCTCGAAATGCATTTTAAACTAGCAAGTCAACATTTCTAGTCAGTTCATGGATACTAAATATGTTTCCTAACAGATTCCTCACATGCCTTGGAAATTTCAACCCTGTTGAATGCACTCACACCTCAAAGAATGAACCCACTGATTTCAGTGCTGATTTTTCATGAGAAAACTACTGGTTTATTACTAACATTGTAATCAGTTATATCGCTGTAAATGTCTTTTGATATCCTGGGACAAAAGATCATGCACATGAAATGTCGGATGAAGGTCATTCAACCAGAAATATCTACAAGCCAAGGATTAGAATAACGATGACCATACAGCAGAGTTGTGATAAACTTACTCCCCAATGGGCTTACAATGGTTTTCCACAGGATGAGACCTATTATTGGCATCAAGGTTAATAGAGCACAAGGAAGCGTCAGGTTGATATTTACCAGTCAGGGCAGAAGGTGAGCACATCTTTTATACCGTGTTCCTTTGGATCATCTAACAAACTGTCGAAATACTGCCATGCATCGTACTCTATAAATGTAATAGCAGATGCATGTGCACGCTTGAGATGCTTCACCATCGTTTTCAGCTTTTTGTTGTATTCTGCATAAATGAAATCGTCAGCACGCATGTACGATGTGACATTAGCTACATCATCCGTAGACTGACCTATGACACGGGTTTCGATCAATTTCTCATTCTCTGTATTATGCCATATAGGGGCTCTGTGGATGGGTGGCACATTGATCAGCATAAAATTCCGTTCTCCTTTTTCAATCAGTTCGTTCTGGATGATGTGCGTTATGCTTGTACAATTAACACATTTTTCATTCATTGTTTGGCTTTGCAACCAACTTACGATGAGGACTTGGTATCGATGCATAATGAGTAAGTCGAGTTCATCTGTTGAATTCCAGTTGTACGTTAGATCAATGTCGTTTATTCCGACCCAAATTGTAACCAATGTCGATTCATGCGTGTGCTGGATGCCTCTCTTATTGTAAACAGAATCCACAATACCAGAGATTTTCTTGGTAGGTGATACAAAGATTTGTTGATACAGATTGCGCACTTGTGTGCTCACATCGACGACTCTATAACAATGAATGAGTGGACGTCTTCAAAGCGAGGTGTTATCCATCATCCTTACGTGGGCACCTGTGAAATAAATTAGCAAATCATAGTATACACGTGCAAAACCTCTTACTTGGTTGACGATACTGTTGTTCACTGGTGCAGAATTATACGCAAAATCCCAACTAATCCATTGTGTAGAATCTGTAAGATAAATCACCCAATTCGGACCACCTGCTGAAGTGCAATTGCGGCACGCATAAGTCAGAGAATCCATATCCAAGTACCTGGTGGTATACGAATCACCAAATGAAATTATCGTATTGATGTCCTTGTACAGAAATGATGGCGATAAATGAGCAATTGGTTGAGTTAATACACATGCGATGTATATTACTGAGAATGCCAGCAAAGTGAGAAAAAGGTACATTTTATTGTATTTCGTACATTGATCTCCTGTTGTCCCTTTTATTGCTCTCCCCTGCTGCTCCTCTCGGCGTTGACTTGGTTGCTGCAGGTCTTCATCATGCCTAAGGTGACTATAGTTAGCGATCAAGTGGTTGTCATGGTTACGAGGCAGCACTGATTTATGCTCTTTGCCCTTCTTGAATGACCAAATCATATTTGTTTGTACAAAAAAAAAAAGAATCGAAAAGTTTTTTCTTGTTGCTATGATCAACAAAGTAATTTAACGACATCACAAGGTCAACCGACATTTGTAATAAAAAATAGTTCATTTATTTTAAATCAAGAAACTTATTCCCAATGTTTAATGTTTTTCGTTTTTAATAAATCATTTAAAACTTCATGTTGTGAGGGAATTGACCTTTGTTCAAACCGAAAGAAGAGGCCAAGTATTGACGGAGGAAAGGAGTCTTGGCAACAACTTCGAGAAGAGCCTTGTCAACAGCCTTTTGGTCAGCAGCCTTGGACTCAGGGAAAGCAGCCTTCTTCTATAAGCATTGCAGCGCATGTTAAGTTATATATTCCCATTTCTGCATTCACATTAACATAAACTTACCTCTTCACCTTGAAGGAAAGCCTTATCAGCCTTAGCGGCCTTCTTGAAGTAAGCATCGTTGATCTTCTCATCAACCTAAACAAACCACACAAGATCAATACACTGCCATGATCAGCCTATATAGCTCTCTCTCTCCCCCTTTCAACTACATACCTTGACACCAGAGATATCAACCTTGGTGGAGGTGGCAATAACGTAGGCTTGGTTGACACGTCTCAAAGGGACACCGTTGATCTTGAAGGGACCAGTGACGAGGAGGAGACCGGAGTCGAGTTGCTTCAAGACGACGACACGCTTACCACTGTGACGACCGGCCAAGAGGATGGCAACGGTACCGGGAGTGATGGTGGAACGGAGAGAGGTCTTGGGAGCAGCCTTGCGACCAGCCTTGGGTTGAGGAACATCCTCAGCAGGGTAGAAGCGAGAAGCCTTTTGAGCAGGGACGGTACGGTTGTTACCGTTCTTACCACCTTTAACCTCGACAGTCTTGTCAGTAGCAGCAGCCTTGGCAGGAGCAGCAACAGCGGTTTGCTTACGCTTGTATTGAGCCTTCTTGGAGTAGGCAGCGGAACGAGAGTAGCGAGATACGCCGGGAGCAATGAAGCTATTTCTAGGTGCGTGCGACATTTGTAGCTAATGGAATAACGAAACCATTAGTCCACTTCGTTCAATCCTCATCACTCAGATCTCCTTTTCACTGTCCACAACGGAAATGTCTCATAGAATATGTTTAAATGTAGTAGAAGTGGATCCCATGTATGTATGAAATACACAGTTTAATTGGTGTTTGCCGAGTTCAATTGTATAAGAGTAGTGCGTGAGTGTTCCTTCAAAATGTCCACAATGCTTGATGATTCCAAGGTGAAGGTATGAATTTGTAGATGTGGCTCTCAAAACCTTACAAGATCAGATATACACACATATGGGCATCCATCCATTCGAAATGGATGTGTATCCATCTATCATTTAAACATATTCTACGATTCTGTATCCGTATGTCAGTCTTTTCATCAATGTTTTACCTTTGGCTATAACGAAAAAGAGGGTGTTCTATCAATTATTCGCCTTTGACCTATATTCCCTTTTTTTTTTTTGCTTTGGCCCGGGCAGACAGACAATGTCCTCTGGGTTTTGAAGTTTAATGGATGTCCACGCTTTTGGCGCACGTGATGTACCGGACAACATGGCGTCTACTGTGTTGAAAATACGATGTTAAATTTTGAGATTACATGTTATTGAACATTCTCAATGCATAGATTCCACTGTTGAAGTATCTCTTTATTACAAAATCCAAGTTCTGCTCTAACAAACAGGCTCAGTGTATATCAGAAAGCCAAGGATTTGAGCACAAAATAAATGAGAGCTATCTATTCAATGTTCGAGTCAATGCGAGGAATGAAATACCAGTGCTCAATCTGGTTGATGATAATATAAAAGAATGCTAAATCTTTATTTAGATATGATGGATCTTCACAATTCTAGTGATGAATATAATAAAAAACGAATAAGCGTGGTATAAGTTATGGTTCAGACTTCCATTGGATTGGGCTTCCATTCTGTCTTTTGGCGTTTCTTGTTTTCCTTTTGATTGAGCTGTATTTCTAGATTCACATCGAAATTGAATTCTTCTGCTTCAGGAATTGCAATGAATTCTTGTGGTGTTGGATCTCCAATCCATTCGTCTGCAAACACAGCTAATGATGATTTTGTCCAATGTACATGATCAATGACACTATCCATTTGGTATAAAGAGTAGAATAAAGGTGTAATCGAAAGACAGTCAAAAGAGGAGCCTTTCAAAGGAGAGTCAAACCATGATTCAGGCAAGTGTGATATATCGGGTAAATTAATACACAATACCTTGTGTGGAAGTTAACAAGAGCAACCCCTACGAGCATGTCAGTGGGAAAGATAAAGCCTTGCAACAGTGTCGAGCATTAATGGCATTGACCAAATTATCCATCAATGTGATGCCAAACCGCTTTCATTTTGAAAACGAATGTGTTTATGCTTCGGATGGCTCTCTACCTTCGCGTCGCTTTGGTGAGAAACAATCTGCGCAGCGGCAACTCGTGCTGCCGATTGCCCTTGCGTATCTTATCAAAATACTGCTACTTTCATTTTGTCCCTCCACTTACACATGAAAATCCTTCATATTATCTGTGGATCTGACTCTTATCTGATGCTCTACATCCATATACACGTAGCTACTTCATATACGGGCAAGTAGCATACTGGTATTTCCACTTTTTAGTCCTTAGTGTCCATACTACAGCAAAATTTGAATGCATTTGAGCTGCGTTTTCTCGCGTCCAAGGCCGTTTTAGATTGTCATAATAGGACAGAACACTTGCTCTCATCTGGCAGTTACTTTCTGACACCTTTGCTCAACTTTTTGGGGATCAAAAAAACATGAACAAAATTCGACCAAAAAGCATGAGGTACCCCTCATGGTTTTCACTGAAAATCAAACGATTGCATTTTTCATCTTGATAACGAAGACTTTTACTATGGTATACCTTGAATCAAAATGTTTCTCTCGATCCAAAGCAACCTCTGAAATCATCTTTGTGGGACTTTGATATGTAAAATTTCGACATTTTGGCCAGAAACCTCTTTTCATATTTTCATAAATCATTTGATAAGTTTATTCAAATCATCTATTTTACTTAGTACCATTGGATGCGCCTTGAAAAGTACTTCAGGAAAGCTTAAGGAAGCATTTTTTTTTTGTAGGGGAGTCGAGCTCCAGGTTTTATTTAAAGTCCTTTAAATGTCATACTGAGGGATAGAAAAGACTGTTGGTGGACCCAATGTCTGCAATGAAGGGGAATAAGATATTTTTGAACTAAGTTGGGAAAGAAATCTACTACTAATAAGGTGCGACTCCTAGAGCCAGTACAGTCTTGCGGAAATCGTCAAAATATAGATCATGGATAAGAGTACAAAACACCATACGAGGACATCAGTAATACGTCAAAAAAATCAAACAACTTGCGTTCACCAGGATTTGAACCGGGATCCTCCCGTTGGCATACGGGAAGCTTAAGGAAGCATGGGGTGATCATCATACTTCACTTAGTCGAATCTGCAAAAATAATTTGATGAGTCCAGAATCATCAAAATTTGGCCAATCTAAAACAGACAATGATTCTGGGGTTGAATTAGTTTTGGCTTGTGGGGCTAGCTGGAAAACTCAATGCCCTTTTCATAAGGCAATCCAGTAGTAAATACCCTTGAAGCGTATGGAAAGTAGGTGGCGAATCATAGCACTATCATTAACCGTGCTATTCTCCTTGCATTCTATATTTAATAATGTCAGTCTATCAAAATACTTATTAGATCAACTTCTTTCCTTTTTGAGGCTCTGAAAGTGTCTAGGGACCATAAATTCATTATGTTATAATGATATGAGCCATGCGTGGCAAATGCCTGGCAACTCAGTTTTCATGTCAGGGTTGTAAAAGTGCTTAGGGGCTATAAATTTATTATGTTATGATGATGATGATGGTTATTGAAACCATTCATACACTGCGGCTCATACAACAGTAATAACTGCCCGATAAGAATGTAATTATGATGGAGTACATAGCGTATATGTAGCAAATGGTTCTGCTATAGATAGACCGTCAAATCAAGAACCAAGTATAGGCAGAAGTGATCACATTTACCACCAAGCCAAGAACTTATAGCGACATTAACCAATCATGAAACTTTCTTTGATAGAAGTGTCAATATAAAACCTCTTAAACCTGAGCATTTGTTCCATCTTTTTTTATCTATTTCTTATTCCTCTTTCATAATGAAGTTCCTAGGTTCCATCTTGGCTGCTACTTTTGTTGCTGTGTCTACAGCATTTCCTGCTTCTGTGCATAACTCTTTAAACACTATCCATGGCAACAATGGCGATGCCTCAACTACACCTTTCTATGTCACTGCACCTCTTGAAAACACTACCTATACAGCGCCATCGATGTAGGATTTCTATGTGTTTATTTGCCGTTTATTTACTAATTAATTATCTTTCCTAATGCTGAATACATGTAGTGTCACCACAAGTAAGTTGCATTAATCAGTTTCTATTCTGCCTGCCTCAACTGGCATTTATTGTAGCTTGGCTCAATGGCATTGATGAGCAATTTACCATCGCTGTTCTGGAAGGCAAAGATCCTGCGTCAATGAAACCTATTGGCCTTAATTTAACAGCTAACGGCAAGACTGGAACCTACGTATGGACTGTAAGTTTGTTGATCATTGGTAATGGTTTTCTTACGATAGCTAATTATGTTTCGACTAGGTTCCTAAAGAGCTTGTTGGTGGTACTTACGCATTCCAATATATCTTTGATCTTTATGGTATCACGTAAGTAGCACATGTGTTTTCGGTCTATAAAAGCACGCTTGCTCATTTTCTCGACATAGCTCTGCTACCTATTCTAATCAATTCAAGGTCATTGGTAATGGCTCTGCCAATACCAGTGCCACTACTGTTGCCCCAGCGTCAATTATTTAATGCTGTGCAACGTACGCTTTAATACATAGTTATGGAATATATTTCTATAAATCCCTCAGCAATTGTAACGTCATGCTTGAAACTACATACATCTTTTGCCGCAAACACATGGTCCTGAAACATTTTGACATTTCAGTAACGGGAAAAAGGGAAGGGACCGTGCGTGGGACACTGATTGAAGGCCAGAAATAAGATGGATCATTAAAATTTTTATTTCTAAAGTGTATGATAGTATGGTAAAATGTACAAATGCAAGATTTAAGCTTGATTTTCATCATGACATTCTTGGGCAAGAATCTCGAAGTTTTCAGTATAAGACCACAAAGAGGCATTGTTAGTCTCACCAATGCGAACTGTGAATACTTGGTGGTCAAAAGATGGGAGGATAGGGGTAGTGTAATTGTCGAGAGAACAAGGAATAGAAGTGTTGGTCAAGTTGAAGACAACTTCGGTCGTCTCAACATCAATCAATTGAATGTTACATAAGAGACCAAATTCAGATGCTGAACTGTTCCATTGAACCAAACCAGTATATCCAGTGTACCATTCGGTATATGAGTCAGGAATGGTAATCTCCAAAGCAGCAAAAGCAGAAGCAACCAAAGCACAAATACCTGTAAAGAGAGTAGCAGCCTTCATTTTTTTTTCAACGTTGTTGTCAGAGAAAAAGAGAAATACGAAAAGATCTATTTTGATCAAATGCGATTTATATACTATTCTGATTTCTGTTTAACCCAAAAAAACTAAGTGTCTATCATGGCTACCAAACAACAACTACCGAGTTTCAAATGCTTTGTAGACAGATGGACCTTTTACTCTTACTTGCTCAGTGTGTGGAAATGCCGTTATGGTCCAAATGCTTTCTCAATAAGAACGTAAAACATTATACATCTGTACTGGTTTGAGGCATTTTCAATTGCTTTGGAAGTCTATTCTGCTATTATGACAAATCTGTTGACGGCACCCATTGTAAGAGCCCTGCAGCGGATCTAACTGCTTCTAAATACTAAAATAAATATACAAATCAGCACATGGTTTGGCATCGTGATAAATTCTTCATTTGATTACATATTGAGCAGTTTTGTTTACTATTGAGTCAACGTAGCACTTTTCATGCTCTCTCCACTATGCTACCAAGTTGGTTTGGCATGCTTTTGAATCATGATTCTTCCCTATTTTGTACCATTATAGATTTTGCAACAAGCAATACCAACATCAACCTCATTAGGAAATGTCATGATGATTGCACAATGTTTTAGATTGAAATGGAGATTGCACAGATTGGTTGCTTGCAAAAGTTAATCCGTAGCATGTTATTTTGGTGCCTGTATTTCATCATTGCACCAAATATTCATGAGGCAACAACAAAGTTGTTTCACATGAGCCGTTTTAGACCGCCAGAATAGCACTATATAATTGCTCTCATCTAGCACTTACTTCCTGATATGTTTGCTCAACTTTTTGGGACCAAAAAAACATGGCCAAAATCCTTCAAAAACTATGAGAGGTACCTCATGGTTTTCGTTGAAAATCAAACGATCGCGTTTTTCGCCTTGAAAATGAAGACGTTTACAATGGTATACGAGCCTTTCAACACTTCGGGTGGTTTCCTGACCTACGCTTCGCTTCGGTGGAAACCAACCTACGCTCAAACGACTCGCGCTGTCGCGGGCCTTTGGCTAATATCGCAAAATTAATACAGCTAAAATATTAGAAGAACCTTGATTGCTGATTGATATATAATCACTAATCATATGAGTGTTTACACTTCAGATGATTCTCTACCTTCGCGTCGCTTTGGTGAGAAACAATCTGCGCAGCGGCAACTCGTGCTGCCGATTGCCCTTGCGTATCTTATCAAAATACTGCTACTTTCATTTTGTCCCTCCACTTACACATGAAAATCCTTCATATTATCTGTGGATCTGACTCTTATCTGATGCTCTACATCCATATACATGTATCTACTTCATATACGGGCAAGTAGCATACTGGTATTTCCACTTTTTAGTCCTTAGTGTCCATACTACAGCAAAATTTGAATGCATTTGAGCTGCGTTTTCTCGCGTCCAAGGCCGTTTTAGATTGTCATAATAGGACAGAACACTTGCTCTCATCTGGCAGTTACTTTCTGACACCTTTGCTCAACTTTTTGGGGATCAAAAAAACATGAACAAAATTCGACCAAAAAGCATGAGGTACCCCTCATGGTTTTCACTGAAAATCAA